TGGGTCTCATGCCACCATTGATTTATTGTTTTGGGGGGCATGCCTCGTGCTTCTGTTGAGTGGTTTTTTTGCTAAGCAAGCCTACTTGGTTAGAGAAGGAAATGGCAACCCACTCCAGTATTCTTGCTTGGAGAATCCCATGGACAGAGGAGCTTGGCGGGCTATAGTCTATGCGGTCACAAGAGTCGGACACGACTGAGTGACTAAGCACAGACACACACACACAAACCTACCTGGTATTGTGGTTAAGCAAACCTGCTTTCTTGAGTAATCATTAACTTACAGGGGCCTCCCATATTTTTTCTACTTACAGTTCACTAGTGGGATTAGCTATTTAATCACTTACTTTGTCCCTTTACTCTGTCCCTATCACCATTATATTCAAGCAAGCTCTGTGTACGCTCTTCACAGTGTGGCCAAATGCCCTGGTTTGCCTGGGGTTGTCCTTGGACACTCGACATTATTTATAATGCCTCCTTTCACTCTCAGAAGTGATCTAGTCTAGAACATAACTACACGTGTGCCCTAATTTTATAGGTATTTTCTTTAATTCCCACAATGCCCTACAAAGTGGGGAACCGCTAATAGCCCCATATTACGATGCAGAATCTAAAGGCTCAGAGAAGATAAGTAACTTGCCCAAGGTCACACAGTTAGAAGGGGCAGAACTGGAAACTGTTAGGAACTCACTTCTTGACTGCAAAGCCCTCTGCTTAGTCACCACACCAAACTTCCTCTTCTAAAATCCGTTGATGCTTTGAGCGACTGATAATCTGGTATCTCTGAATAGTAGAGAAATAACAATTAAGTTTATCTTGGAGTTTTCTTGACTCTCTTCCCTGCCCCACACTTTGGCCATCTTTACCACACTCTTGAAGAGATCTCATGGGCAAATCTAGTTCGCTCCTTGGCAGTGGCAGCTTCGTTATCATCAGATGAGCAAGCACCATTGTGCCACCTGTGCCCCAGATGATGCACAAGGCATAATCAGCTAATCTTCTCACCGACCCTGCAAGTTGAATGTTACAGATTTCCTCCCACAAAAGGAAAACTCCTCAAGGTGGTGCAGCTGGGAGGAGCCAGAGCAGGGGCTAGAACTTGGCATCCTGGCTTCGAGCTGAGGGAACTTCCCACGGTGCGCCATTTGGGTGCTCTCCCTGCAGAAGCAAGCAGTAAGTTGCTGTTTGGCTATATGGGCATATGGTTCCAGTGGGTCCATGGCAGAGAGATGGTTAAACCACGGGTTGGGACCCACAGACCCTCAAGGTCCCCAGGCAGGCTGGCTGCCAAGGGGCCAGGACCATCTTGCCCAAAAGCACAGGAATCAGCCCTTTGAGTTCGTCTGGCCATACACAGTTGGTCTTTGCTTGTGGAAGAATTGATGCCTTCGAACTCTGGTGGTGGAAAAGACTCTTGAGAGTCCCTTGGACTTCAAGGAGATCAAATCAGTCCATCCTAAAGGAAATCAGTCCTGAATATTCATCAGAAAGACTGATGCTGAAGCTGAAACTCCAATACTTTGGCCACCTGATTCAAAGAACCGACTCATTGGAAAAGACCCTGATGTTGGGAACGATTGGAGGCAGGAGAAGGGGATGACAGGGGATGAGATGGCCGGATGGCATCACTGACTCAGTGGACATGAGTTTGAGGAGAATCCACTTGCAATTTGGGACACCTGGGTTCGATCCCTGGGTTGGGAATATCCCCTGGAGAAGGGAAAGGCTACCTACTCCAGTATTCTGGCCTGGAGAATTCCATGGACTGTATAGTCCATGGGCTCACAAAGAGTCAGACACGACTGAGAGACTTTCACTTCACTTCACAGGAGATGGTGAAGGACAGGGAAGCCTGGTGTGCTGCAGTCCATGGGGTGGCAAAGAGTCAGACTTGACTGAGCAACTGAACAACAACCTTACATTTAAGAGGTATATGCTTCCCTGGTAGCTCAGACAGTAAAGCGTCTGTCTACAATGCGGGAGACCCGGGTTTGATCTCTAGTTAGGGAAGATCCCCCGGAGAAGGAAATGGCAACCCACTCCAGTACTCTTGTCTGGAAAATCCCATGGACCGAGGAGCCTGGTAGGCTATAGTCCATGGGGTCGCAAAGAGTCGGACACAACTGAGCAACTTCACTTCACTTCAAAAGGTATATATATATGTGTGTGTGTGTGTGTGTGTGTGTGTATGTCTGTGTGTATATATATATATAATTTTATTTATTTATTTTTGGCTGTGCTGGTTCTTTGTTGCTGTGTGGGCTTTTCTCTAGTTGAGGCAAGAAGGGGCTACTCTAGTTGTGGTGTGTGGGTTTCTCATTGCGGTGGCTTCTCTTGTTGCAGAGCACAGGCTCTAGGGCACTAGGGCATCAATAGTTGTGGTTCCAGAACCCTGGAGCACAGTCTCAACAGTCATGGCACACGGGCTTATTTACTCTGTGGCATGTGGGATCTTCCTGGATCAGGGATCAAACCTGCATCTCTTGCATCTTCTGCATTGGCGGGCAGACTCTTTACCACTGAGCCATCAAGGAAGCCCATATTTAAGAGGTTTTTGAACAGCATTTTCCTTTCTTTGGCGGGAGAGATCAGACATCTTTTAGAACAGAGCACAGGCACCTTGAAGATGGAAAGCAAACCATTTCTAGAGCCCATACCTCCCCACTCCAGTTTCTCCATGAAGAAATCATCACACTATGTCATGTGGTCTACTGCCGCTCCAACCCGCTGGCCTCAAGGGAAGGAAGAAATAAAAGCAAGCACATTCCAGACACTGCAGGGAAAATGGGATTTGGGAAAAGGATGTTTGTTCAAAATCAACCAAAAATAGAGAAGCAAGAAGAGGAAGAGGCAACCTCTTGACCCATTTAAAGAGCTATTTCCCAAGAAGGATTTTCTAAGCAATGAACAATGTCACAAAAGGAAACGCCAATGTAAAAACGTAAAGATTTGGTATGTTAAAAACTATCAAAAACAAACATAAAAGTAATCAACACACTCATAAAACACATACACCACAAATATCACAATGGCAGTGGATAGAGAACTCATAAAATGATTTTTAAATAAGTCCATCAATTTGTTGTTGTTTAATTGCTAAGTCGTGTCTGACTTTTTTGTGACTCCATAGACTGTAGCCCTCCAGGCTCCTCTGTCCATGAGATTTCTCAGGCAAGAATACTGGAATGAGTTGCCATTTTCCTCTCCAAGGGATCTTCCCAACCCAGGCATCAAACCCACGTCTGCAATGACAGGTGGATTCTTTATTGCTGAGCTGCCAGGGAAGCCCCAAATCCATCAATACTTGTTAGAAAAACAGGGAACAGAAGCAGATAATTGATTCCCCCAAATTAAAAATTGTTTAGTAATTATGAATGCTTTTGTTTTGTGGATAATCATTTAAGTTATCATTCTGAAATACCATTATTTGCTTTTTGATACTAAGATTCGCTTTACTGGTGTTACTATAAGCTGGGAGAGACCCATAACACTGGCCCTCTCAGACTGGGGCTGGCACTGGCATGAAAATAAGCCAGGTGTACCTCTTCTAGAAACACTCTCACAGAACATATCAAGGATATTTAAAAATACTAGAAAACTTAAATGTCTTAGAATTTTCTCACAGAAAATAATTAGAAATTCAAACAAAAAATTATGGACAAAGATGATCAGTAAAAAGAATGATGAACAGCAATACTTGGAAGCTCAGATGCTACAATATATTACAATATAGCTATTCAGTGACACAACCCTTCAAAATGGTATTTTTGAAGAGTGTTTATATTTGTACAAAGGAAAAAGAACTATAAGATAGTAGGTTTGTTTTTTTTTTAAGTGAAAAAGGCAGAAAAAAAAAGGAAAAAAATAAAAAAGCAGGCTGCAAGGCAATTTGCGATTTTAAAAGGCTTATGTGCATGGCTATATGTGATATGTGCACATATCAGCCATGTGCAGCCATGGCAGGGAGAGAGAGTCATGATGCTCTGAAGCTAAATACAGTCTCTAAAACATGAAGGCTGGCACTATCTCCTACCCTCCTGAGGATGGCAAGCATGTCATGACACCACTGAATATTTCAGAGGATGGAGGTGGGCTGGGGAGTGGGGAGGAGCTTGATGAAAGTTCCAGGGCCAGAAGAGAGGGCCTCGAAAGCAAAATGCTTAGGTGTCATCAGTGATGGTGATCATGGTCCCATGGTAGGTCAGAAAATGTCAGGGACGGTGGACCAAGGGCTGGTGGATCAAGAGTAGGACCATTATGAGGGGCATGATCCAAGAGGCCAAGAGCAATGGGGAGCCTGACCACTGAGCCCAGGAATAAGCCTGGTCACCCCAAGATGTCCCCACCCCAATTCCTCAGGAAATAGGACATCTCAGGGTGGGAGGCACTCTCGCACCAGTCCTTGGGGGTTAGACTGTGAACATGAGGGCACCCCAAGCTGGTGACCAATGGAAATGGACATGTCTTTCCAACATGCTTAAAAAGAGAGAGAAACCAAAATATAGCTATAATAGACCAAAATATAGCTATAATAGGTGATAGGATGAAAAGTGAGATTAGTTTTCTATGTGCTTTTCCATATTTTCAAAAATTTCTGCTTCTCTCTCGCTCTCTGCGCTGTTGTAGCTGGACCCTCTGCCTTCGCCACCGCTCAGCATCTGCACATCCCTACAATGGCTAAAACAGCAATGGCCTACAAGGGAAAAATGAAGGAACTGTCCATGCTGTCCTTGATCTGCTCTTGCTTCTACCCAGAACCTTGCAACATCAACATCTATACTTACGATGATATGGAAATGAAGCAAATCAACAAGCGTGCCTCCGGCCAGGCTTTTGAGCTGATCTTAAAACCACCATCTCCCATCTCAGAAGCTCCACGAACTTTAGCTTCTCCCAAGAAGAAAGACCTGTCCCTGGAGGAGATTCAGAAAAAAACTGAAGGCTGCAGAGGAAAGAAGAAAGTCTCAGGAGGCTCAGGTGCTGAAACAACTGACGGAGAAGTGGGAACATGAGCGAGAGGTCCTCCAGAAGACTTTGGAGAACAACAACTTCAGTAAGATGGCGGAGGAGGAGCGGATCCTGAAGATGGAACAAATCAAGGAAAACCGTGAGGCGAATCTAGCTGCTATTATTGAACGTCTGCAGGAAAAGGAAAGGCATGTGGCGGAGGTGTGCAGGAACAAGGAGCTGCAGGTCGAACTGTCTGGCTGAAGTGGAGGGTATGGCACGCCCCACCATTAGTAAATCCCCCTGCTTATATTATAATGGATCATGCGATATCAGTATGGGAAATGTATGACATGGCTTAAAAAGAGCTCATTATAAAAAACAAAAAAACAGAATCAAAAATAAAAAAAAATAAAAAAATTTCTATAGCAAGTACTTCTATAATTGGAAAAATGATGACGGTTACTTTAAAAATACTTTTGTGAAAACTTTTAATTTTATTATGTATTTATTTATGCTCTTTTTTTGACTGCACTGCACAGCATGTGGGATCTTAGTTGCCCAACCAGGGATCGAACCCATGCCCCCTGCAGTGGAAGCATGGTGTCTTAACCACTGGACGGTTAGAGAAATCCTTTAAATAAAAATACTTTTAAAATAATATGCATTCTTTTATTTTTTTGCCAAAGGAAAATACCGCCTGAGTTATTCCAAACTAATTTTTTCCACCGGCAGCTGGCAAGGCCCAAGGGTCCCAGCTCCCTCCTGGGAGTGCAGCACAGCCATGTGGGGGCTCAGTGCTTCTGCCCCTCTCCTCTGGAGGGTCTGCTCGCTCTCCAAAGATGGGCACATGGGCGAGGGCACAGATTTCTCTCCTAAGACGGTCTGCCCAGAGTCTCCTTGGTGCTGGTGCCCCTTCCCCAAAGTTTCAGGCCCCAGCAGGCCCTGCATTCTGAGAACCTGACTTCTCTAGTGTGAGGGCTGCCAGCTGGAGAAAGGTCAGGTTGTCCATCTTGTGACCTCCCTCGGGGACCAGATGCTGTCAACCGAGGCAAGGGAACTGAGACCAAAGCCCCTGTGACCCGGTGCTCTTCTCTCCATCTACCAGGCTCTAAGCACCCTCCTTATGGCTCCCCTCCAGCCCTATCTCCATCCTGGGGCCACAGAATAAGGCCCCTGCCCCTTCCAGAGGGAGTCATCATTTGCAGACGTTGAGCACAATTAGAGCCTTCTCTTCACGGAGAAGAGAAGCCAACACATCCAGCGCCTCCAGCCCTTCTTCAGCAGCTCCCGAGTCTCCATTGCCCGGCTTGCTCTCATTGGAACACACTGCAAGGTCTGACCTGTGGGGCAGATATCCGACACGGCAGCTCAAACCATCCCCTGAGGACGTTTAAGGCCACAGGGAGTAGTCTCTGGAGCTTAACTGATCCTAGTTTCTCCACCCACCTGGACACCCTCAAGCTGGGGGTTTGGTAGACAGCAGGCTCATCAGAGGGAATGCAGGCGGGGCCTCTGGGAATGCTCACCGTTTAGGTCCTATTCAGTGGGTGGTTTGCTTCTATTTTGTTGTGGTTGGAATATAATTGCTTTGCAATGCTGTGTCAGTTTCTGCTGTAGGACAGCATGAATCAGCTATATGCACACATATATCCTCTCCCGGACCTCCCCCCACTCCCATCCTATCCCTCTAGGTCACCAACAAAGCATCGAGTTGAGCTCCCTATGCTACACAGCCGCTTCTCATTAGCTATCTATTTGACAGTGGATGTTCAATGTCCAGAACAAGGAGGATGGAGCCTGGTTCTACCCCACAAGTCAGAACTCGATGTTTTGGGATCTGGAAGAGATCTTCGAGACAACATACAGGGCACTAGGAATCAGGAGAGAAGTCGGTCTTTGTATTTGCCTCCATGTCACCACCAATTCTGCGGAGACCCCGAGCTTCTCTGGCCTCCACCTACTTATCTCTAACACAGGGCCTTAGTTCTCCCCCTGCCTGCCTGTGGTGAGGACCTTAAGGAGGCTGTGCAGACAGGTTCAGGGGTCTATAGGATCCAGGGGAGATTCTGAGCTGATCCCAGGACTTAATAACCAGGGGCTCCTCCCAAGCCAGCTGTTCCCTGAGCCCCAGGCTCTCTCCTCTGGACCCACCAGTGCTTTCTGCCTGACCACACTTGTTGGGTCCTCAAGCTGTTTCATGTGAAAAGCTTGCTTTTCCAATTACATTTTTGCATAAATGGCTACTAATGACATCTCCCTTCTCTATGTCCCGAGTTCTGTGTGGGGGTTACTGGGAACAGGGAAACGTTTCAGAAGGCTTTTGAGGGTGTGAGCACCTATCTTGAGAGTGACCTGGCAGGGTCTCATGCAATTGTCTGGTTACTCTGATCTAGCGCCCCCTGGAGGTAAGGGCGAGCACTGCCACAAGCTACCAATGGGCCTGTCTAGGTTTTTCCAGTAGTCATGTATGGATGTGAGTTGGACTCTAAAGAAAGCTGAGCGCCGAAGAATTGATGCTTTTGAACTGTGGTGTTGGGGAAGACTCTTGAGAGTCCCTTGGACTGCAAGGAGATCCAACCAGTCCATCCTAAAGGCAATAAGTCCTGAATATTCTTTGGAAGGACTGATGCTGAAGCTTTGGCCACCTGATGTGAAGAACTGACTCATTAGAAAAGACCCTGATGCAGGGAAAGATTGGAGGCAGGAGAAGGGGACTACAGAGGATGAGATGGTTGAATGGCATCATCAACTTGATGTACATGAGTCTGAGTAAGCTCTAGGAGTTGGTGATGGACAGGGAAGCTTGGCGTCCTGCAGTCAATGGGGTCACAAAGAGTCGGACACGACTGAGCAGCTGAACTGACTGAAGAGATCATAACTGGCATGAGGTGACCCTGGACACCGACTGAGGAATGGGGGCCCCTGACTGCAGGGAGGGGGTGGGGGAATGTGTTCAGAAGCCAGCAAGTGAGGCTGTTCAATTTCCAGGTGCCACAATGGGCCATGTATGTTGTCTCGAAGATCTCTTCCAGATCCCAAAGCATCAGGTTCTAGGATCACAAGCACCTTTGAGATTTAAAAGATGAAGAATTCTAGGTGCTGTAAACCCTGAGTTTCGGAGACATTATTCTCAGAAGCAACATTCACCGTCCACAGAAAACACAGTCCATTCAAACCCAGAGGACCCTACTTCCCTTTGAAGCCAGCCCCTTCTGCTTCGAGGGGTACACAGCAACCCTGTCACTGTGAGACCAGAGTGGGTCCTCCAAAGGGCAGGTGCAGATTAGTCACCCCAAACCAGGGCCCGTGCCCACTATACACAAGGCTGGAGAGCCTCGGCAGTTCTGTCTGGAGTGGCCCTACCCAGGCAGGACATCTCAGATATTTGCTGTCCCTGGGCAGGGTCGCTGGGAAGATTGGAACTGAAGGTGGCCTTGCCCCGGGGTCAGGACCTGTTTTTGTGAAGGAGACACTTCTGCAGGTTCTGGAGTTTTAACTGCCTTTGTCATGATGCTGAGAAAGACAGGGAAGGCCACCAGGTGTGTCCCTGCATCTCTGTAGCTGAGTTGGTGGCAGCCTCTGCGGAGAAGCTCAGGTTCACACTGGTGGAGGGGCTTTGGGGCTGGGGGTGGGAGAGAGAGCCCTGCATGCTCTGCCCAGCCTCTGGAAGGTGTGGCCACTGGAAGGATGAAGGCCCAGCCTGACCGCAGCCCAGGCTCTGAACATGGTGGCAGGTGGCTCCTTGCCCTGGTAGACATTGCCCTCTGACCGATGGGCAGCCCAGAACGTTTCTAAGGTTGCAGAGCCCTCAGGCCCTTCCCTCCATCCCCACCCCTTCCTGGCAGCTCATAGCTGCCTGAAGCAGGGTTACATTGGCAGAGTATGGGGTGAGCGGAGGTGGGTGGGGGAACCAGAATGGGGAGTTGTCTTCACTATGATGTTAACATGAATGTGAAACTTTCTGAGCTCAGCATTCAAGGATCCACAGGTGACCACACCACCTTCTCCAAATTAACCTTTCACTGCCTTAGACCCCTCACCAAGCCCCGTCCAAGTCCAGATGCTTCTAACTGAACACCCACAGTTTGGCTCAGCACCGAGCTAGGAGCAGAAGCTGATCCTCTCCCAGCCCTAACACAGATGCCAGCTGCCAGGAAGCAGTCCTGAGGCCAAACCCCACTGCAGATGGGGAGGAACATCACTGAGCCCGGGAGGTCTGGATGTGATCACTGCTGGGCCAGGGGCAATGGCTGCTCTTCTATGAGCAGAGAGCCCAATGTGAAGCTGGATCCAGCCTCACACACCTAATCCCTTAGCTACTGGAGACCAGGGCCCCAGAGCTGGATGCTTGGGTCCCATCAGTGAAAAGGGTCCCGTGGTGGGCCCAGAGGAGAACAACTTGGGGGTGCTGGTGGACCAGAGAACTGGTGACCAAGTGCTGCGACAGGCTCTGTCCCGAGAGGAAGAAGGGACTTGCTTGAGCTGAAGGCACTCCCTCCAGCCACGTGGTCCACTGTGCGATGGGGCTCATGTAAGGCTCACCTAGAGTCTTCCCATCAGATCACTCACTTACCCAGTAAATATGCCCAATCACTCAGTCGTGTCTGACTCTCTGCGGCCCCATGGACTGTAGCCCACCAGGCTCCTCTGCCCATGAAATTTTCTAGGCAAGAACACTGGAGTGGGTTGCCATTTCCTTCTCCAACCCAGTCAATGGCTTCCCTGCAGGACAGGAGGAGTTCTGACAACTGGGCACTTGGGGCCTCTGCCAGCCTTTGGATTCATGCTCTTCACATCTGGGAGGGAGAATTATGGGGGTGGAGGCTTTTGTGGATTTCACACCTCAGTTATATTGAGAGAAAGATGACTGAGGGTCCTGTGGATGCTGGAGCTCTCAGCAGCTCCAACTGGATCAGTGAGTCCCGGGGACTCAATTCACTGCTGTGTCCCAGGTGCCTGGTACAGAGCTGACGCTCAGCAGATGAATGAAGGAGTGAATGAGGAGAAGGCGTCAGAGGCTATCCCGGTCTCAGCCATTCTGAGGCTGCTCCTACATGAACCCCTCCGCCTTCCTGCAGGACTCCATGCTCAACCTGCGACAGAGCGCCTGAGAGCTGGCAAGCGTGGCAGCTCCTAGCAGGGGCGAGCCCGAGGCAAGATGGTCACGCCAGGGGCCTGGAGCCAACCAGCCAGGCTCTGATAGTTTACTGTTCTCCCAATGCAGGGGGCAGAACCGAGACCGCCCCCGCCACTGAAGAGGG